AAAGAAAGAAAGAAAGAAAGAAAGAAAGAAAGAAAGAAAGAAAGAAAGAAAGAAAGAAGGAAGGAAAATAATCAGAAGTTACCTTTTTGGCTAATGGGAAGAACAGAACATAGAACATAGAATAATAGCGTTGCAATATACTAGGATAACGATATAATATTTTGTATTAATATGCAGGGTAATAGAATTATGGGAATGTTCAGAGTTCTGCCACAGATGTTAGCCAGTCACCCCTGTGGATATTCTGCCTTCCCTCCCCGGTTTCCCTTCCTCCCCTTCGCTTTTTCTGCCCTTGCCAAGTCTCACAGCTCCATAAATTATACGTTGGAATAACATCTCACCACCATGTTGTGCATGCGTTAGCAGGTGTGGGATTTATCTACCTAGAGAAGCTTCCAGATCAGGCTAATTATCGGCCTGCATGCTGCTCTCTCCAATTCCTGATGCAATTCCACCCCCGCCCCCGCCAGCGAAGAGCAGCGAGTGCGAATCTCTTTCTTTCTTTCTTCTCCCTGATCTGATCCCATTGGCAGGCTGGGAGCCCTTTGCCCGCCCCACTCGCAGGAGAGCTTTCAGACCTGCGGTGAAAAGCCGCAAAAACAACTGACGGGTTGTGTCAACAGAGGCCATAGAATCAACATCACGTGAAGGATTAGTCCCCGCTTTGTAAAGCCTTTAGTAAGGCCACACCTGGAAGGCTGCTCTCCACGTTACAAAAAAGGCACTGAGACTCTAGAAAAAGTGCAGAGAAGAGCAACCAGGAGGATTAGGGGACTGGAGGCTAAAACATACGAAGAACCGTTACAGGAACTGGGCCTGGCTAGTCTAGGGAAGAGAAGAATCAGGGTGTCGTGCTTGGGTGGGGGGTTAGACTAGATGACCTACAAGGTCCCTTCCAACTGTTAATCTGGATCTATCCAAGATGATCGAAGGCCTGGAGATTAAAACATATGAAGAACCGTTGCAGGAACTGGGCCTGGCTAGTCTAGGGAAGAGAAGGACCAGGGGAGACAGGAGAGCATCTTCCAATATTTGAGGGGCTGCCCCAAAAAAGAGGGAGCCAAATTATTCTCCAAAGCACCGGAAGAAGAGGTGGTATTCCGCCGGTTCTGACCGGTTCTTGAGAACCGGTAGTGGAAATTTTGAGTAGTTTGGAGAACTGGTAAATATCACCTTTGGTTGGCCCCGCCCCCATATCTATTCTCCGCCTCCCAAGTCCCAGCTGATTGGCTGGGTCTTCTTTGGTTGCCCTGCACAGGAGAACGGAGCTGGAAAGCAGGTTAGTGGGGGCGGGGGAGGGAAGGGGGAGTTTGCAGTATCTGTCCCCTGCCACGCCCACCAAGCCACGCCCACAGAAATGGTAGTAAATTTTTTTGAATCCCACCACTGACAGGACAAGAAGCAACCTGGAACTAAGGAAAAAAAATCCTCACAGGGAGAACAATAAACCAGTGGAACTGCTTGCCACCAGAAGTTGTGGGTGCTCCATCACTGCGGTTTTTTTTTAAAGAAGATACTGGACAGCTGTTTGTCTGCAATGATATATAGGGTCTCCTGGTTGAGTAGGGGTTGGACTAGAAGACCTCCCAGGTCCCTTCCATGTCTATTCTGATTGATTAATTGATTGATTATGTCAACCCTTTAACTCAGTGGTAGCATCGGATTATGATCCGAAGAAGCCACAGGGAGGGAGGGAGGCAAGGAAGGAAGGAAGGGAGAAGGAGGGAGGGAGGAAAGGAGGAAAGGTGGAAGGGAGTGGAAGAGAGAATGGAAAGGAAGAAGGGAGGGAGAAGGAGGGAAGAAGGAACTGTGGGGCTGGAGAAGCAGATACAGCAGAGGTGGTTATTCAGCCGGTTCTGACCAGTTCTGGAGAACCGGTAGAGGAAATTTTGAGTAGTTTGGAGAACCGGCCAATCCGACCTCTGACTGGCCCCACCAACCCCATCTCTCCTCTGCCTCCTATTGAGTCCCAGCTGATCGGCTGGGTCTCCTTTGGCTGCCCTGCACAGGAGAATGGAGCTGGAAAGCAGGTTAGTGGGGTGGGGAGGGAAGGGGGATTTTGCAGTATATCCTTCCCCTGCCACGCCCACCAAGCCAAGCCACGCCCACAGAACACCACGCCCACCAAGCCACACCCACAGCTGATCGGCTGGGGCTTCTTTGACTGCCCTGCACAGGAGAATGGAGCTGGAAAGCAGGTTAGTGAGGTGGGGAGGGAATGGAGATTTACAGTATCCTTCCCCTGCCACACCCACCAAGCCAAGCCACGCCCACAGAACACCACGCCCACCAAGCCACACCCACAGCTGATTGGCTGGGTCTTCTTTGACTGCCCTGCACAGGAGAATGGAGCTGGAAAGCAGGTTAGTGGGGTGGGGAGGGAATGGAGATTTTACAGTATCCTTCCCCTGCC